CGTCTGTGTTGGGACATTCTTTTGAACAGTGGCTGCTTTGTTTCCCCGATGTATAACTGGTCGCAGTCCTCCTGGCACTTAATAAGTGTTCTTTTACATAATGCAGTGTTTCTCCTACCATTATCGGGCTACACCTTCCCTAATGTCCTGAGCTGTTGGCTTTGAGCTATTTAGTTGAATAGCCCTGATTTACAATTAAATGTTAGTCTGAAGTTAAAATACGCTGTTCTTAAGTAAAAATATTGTATTAAATGAGGCAGGTAAACAACTTTTTGGCTAAGGTATGGGCATGTTAGAGTCCGTTCTTGGATCTAAACAAAACCCAGTTCTTAGGAGCTTGTTGGGCTAAAGAACATCAGGAAACACATTCTGACTCAAATAAAACTTGTTACCTTCCTCAATAATCAACCAAATGATGTGACTGACCAAACAGCTCCATCATCAGTTCCAGAAACTTCTCAAAAACTTCAGGCATTTTGTGAATTCCAGTCTTTTGTTTTAGGTCCATATTGGGGCCCTCCTTAGTTTTTCTTTATGAAGCCTATTTAAAATGCGACAGATGGTCACCTAACCTAACGTTTGGGTTCAGTTTGAATGGTTTTTAATGGGTTATTTTGGCTCTTTTTCTACCATCCACACTATGTATCAGATAAACCTTGGGTTGCATTTCTTCTTGCGGCCACATCCTGGTAGATTGGCAACAGTTCCATGAACCTTATATTTTTTAATATAATTGGCAGCTGTGGTCAGAGTAACATGAACCTGCTTGGACATCATTTTGTAGCCTTAAGCTTCAACCTGATATCTATAATCTGAGCTCCGCAGACAGATCTAGGCTTTGCTTTCTCTGCTCCATGTTCAGTGTGGAGTACGCAACAATACCAAACTTTAAATAGGCTGAAACGCTTGAAGGCACTTGTGATACTAAATAAGGTCAGTTTGCAGAAAATAAAGAAGTCATTTCTGATCACAATTTTTTTTTTCATTAAAATAGTAAAAGCTGTGAAGCACGGTGGTTATGTTCACGTTGGGCGGTTAAATTTAAGATTTCAATTGGTTCTAAATCAGATGTTTTAAGAAATATTGAGCTGGAATTTTGTGTGATCGTAATGAAGAACGATAAAAAAAAAATGCTTATTGCTAGTCCCAATTTAAGCTAACATGTTGGCCAATCAGGTGCCAGGGGTGGCACATGTCTCTCCGACCACCCCTCTGGCTCCGCCCCTTAATATATCGTGTGTTTAACCACTGCATTGTCAAAACTCACAGCAAAAACTGTGAAACTGAAGTTGCCTTGAACGGAGAGGCAATTTTGAGAACAAATTTTTCTTCCCTGAATAATTTAGATTGTTAAAACAGTTTCCTTAATTAATTAATGGACACTGACTGAGAATACTGTACATTAATGTGTGAGGATGGAAGGGAAAAGTTATAAGTGTTACAATGAAAATGCAAATAGCTAATATCCATATTAACTAATTTATTTATTTAAATATGTATTTAGTAGTATATCAACAGTGTAGAAACATTGGTGGTAACTAAATTAAATTAGAAAGACCTGAAATATGCATTGTGTCATTTGTACAGTTTATCAGATAAGAATTTGTTGTGTCTGCGCACAAACACCACTTTTTTACGTCACAACAAAATAATGAATCTCAACATCTTCCTTGTAGAAATTGTTCAGTTTAGCTCAGTTTGTCTAATTTTAAGACCTGCAACTGTGTAAATAATATAAACGATACAAGTTTCCCCAAGCGTATAATCTCCACTACACACAAACAACCTTTTTGCAAATACAAAAATAAAGGGGGTAATGTAGATGTGCTGCTTCAGGCTCTGGTGTGAATGAGAAATATTAACCAAGACATTCAGTTTGGTAACATTACATCCTCAGAATCCACATTGATATTCATATTTTCTTTGAAAGACACTCTATCAAATGCGTTCAGTTTCTTGCCATGTTAATACCACACATCCATTAGTGACAGGTTTAGATTTTATATGAAATCAAACAGAAATGTAACTTAATTTGGACGCGACATTTAATATTTAAGTCAAAAACATTTATGTGAACATATAAGATCTCTCAGTCAGTCTATGCTTCTAATAAAAGACTGCAACAGTACAACACTAGTGGAATCACCACTTTATAAATCTGCTATAGTTAGAGAAATTTATGTCTGCTAAATCTGAGCTGAAATTTATGCTGTATTTACAGGAAGTGATAAATCAAAACCGTACGTCAAAGACTAAAAGCAAAACAAGACACAGTGTGAGTGGTATGTTTAGTCAGAAGAGAGTTTTGGCAGCGAAATGTCTGAAAAGTAACGTATCCTGCTGCTGGCAGCTAAAGTGCTTGGATGGAAATTGCAGATGAGCTCAGCAGAGAGACTCAAACTTTGTTTCTTGCTGCAGAAGCACAAATGAGAGGCCTGGCAGATGGAGGTTTTTAGCTGGGATAGTCCAGAAACGGTGAAGGAAGTTTGATAATTCATTAAAACATCACACGCCCTGACAGGAAATGACTGCATCTCATTCTGTACCCACCTGACCAGTGTCCCGTGGAAGCCCCGGACCGGTCGTTGCACGTGTTACTGACGGGCAGGAAGACGGTCTCCCAGCCGCCGGGGGCGTAGCGCCAGTTGTGGGACTCCAGGATGAGCGTGCGCTGCGTGCCGTACGCGATCATGAAGCAGTAGACGACGTGGTGGAGCTGGCATCCGTAACCGCAGCCCTTATTGATGTTACACACCAGCTTCCTGGCCTTGCTGCAGTCTGGAGGGTTCTGCGAAGGAAAGAAGGAAAGGTTTCAACATCTTTTATTGCTGATTTTTCACCTCGTGGCTCCCGGAGACCTGCTCTCTGACTTTTAATAACACACGGCAGATAATCTTTTATTTGTTTCCATTGCCCGTCTCTGCTTTAAATCTAAGGTTTTGTTGCCCGTTTGTGATTTTTCTCAGTTTAACCTTCTTTATCCACCTGCCAGCAAAGGTGAAAAGTAGGGCATGATGTTGAAGGAATTTATTAGATACTGATTTAAAGCAGCACACCATTTGTCTTAGTTTCTTTTTTAAGGCTTGACTTTTATAATTTATTAGACCATTGTAATGTCCTGATTAAAATAGTTTTAGGTACATGCCCAAAAACATCATGACAACACATAGAAATACTGTTATAAATTCATTAGGAAAGATATGTTCTGTTCGAGTTGCCTGCGATCCAGCCATAGGCCTGCAGTGGGCGTACCAGGCACTGAAGAGACGTGTGTATGAGCCGGAACCTCCGGTTTGCTTGGAAGCGTTGCTCGTTTGCTGCCGTGAGCAATAAAGCTCTGCTCAGAATCCAGTACTGGGGTTGTATGGTCGATTCCCTTCACATTTTAACCTATTCAACATTTATGTGGTTTTGTTTCGATTTTCAGTTAACGAACACCAAATATTCCTACAATGTTTCTGTTTGTTAGCAAAATATCCCAAGAACTACTGGACAAGCCTTAATGAAACAGAAAGTAATTCACTACACTTGGCACAGAAAGTAAGTAAATTTGTGTTTAGTACCGTATTTTTTGGACTATAAGCCCGCGACTTTTTTCCTGAACTTTGAACCATGCGGCTTATAGTCCGGTGCGGCTTATACATGGATTTTTTTCTTCAGCCACCAGGGGGCTCTTATGCTCCATTTGCTTCAACCACTCGCTTCAAAAAAAGAAGGAAAGAAAGAAAAAAGCGATCGCTTCCAGAGCCGACTGTTGACCAGGAAGCAGAGATTTAAAGATAGTCAATGGCCAAAAACTCATAAAAGGGGATAAAACAGACATTTTTCACGGTGGAATCTGACTGATAAAAACTTTGGAGCTTAATCCAGGACCAGTTTGTGGATAAACGTCGAGTGAAGAGCCGCTGACTTTTTTTTCCCTCATTGCACTCCCCGGGGAAGGAATCCCATGCAGTGACGTATGCTGGAGCGGGAGGGCTTTCCCACCACAGCTTCAGAGCCAGCATTACCCCGGGAGGACAACAGATACCGCTGTGTGACGCAGCTTTTCTCAGCTTGTTTAACTCCGACACTGAAGAGGAGGACTTCGATGGTTTCAGTGCGCCGGAGGACGATGAATGAGACGTTTTGTTGGACCAGAAACTGTTAAAGAAAACTACCAAAATAAGGTCAGTTAAATGAACCGTATTCCTCCGAACTTTAATTCCTAAAAGTTTGATTTTTATGTTTTGATGTTGAATTCACTTTTTTGATGGAAAATTTGGGTGTACTGTTTTTTTTTATGTTGGGGGTGCGGTTTATAGTCCGGTGTGGCTTATAGCCCGAAAAATACGGTAGATTATTTTTTGTTGCTACAATAAATCTCATATTGGGCACCTGAGTGGCAGCACCTGGGGGGACCAGAAGTGTCAGTGGCAACAGCTAAATAAACTGACCCACATACTCAGCTCTACTGCTCATCCCACAAATGCATGTTCCTTACAAATGTGGCACCATCTAAAAAGGAAAATAAACAAGCTTTACAACAGTGTGAGATTTATTGCCAAGAAACATCGTTACAACAAAGACATAATCTACCAAACATCTTAGGCTGTTTGCTTTTTGGAATCAACACAATACAAGATGGCTGCCACGGACAATTAACCTAAAAAAATCCCCACAAAACAGCTGTAAATCAAAACAACTTCATATATACTGATACTTGGTGCGGTATTTTTACAGATATCCTGTTTGTCTGTTAGCAAAATAACTCATGGCCCACCAAACAGATTTTTATCGAAACTTTCGGCAAGTAATTTAGTTTAAGCTGACGAAGGGGTTGGGTGACATTGGCAACAAAATCTATTATGATTTACTAGAATTGTGACATTTAGCTTAAAACAGTACGCTGTGAATTGAAACCCACTGTTTCCACGATGTGTAGTTGTAGCGTATCAGTAATTCAATATGACATGGACTCACATGCACACTAAACTATATCATCAGTGGCACTAATTGCAAAATTTCAAATGTTGGCATTTTTTAACAATGAATTGCACACGATAAGATTTTGCCCAACACCTTCAACTTTATCATTTTATTTCACTGCATCCACTTTTACAAAACTACTCATTTTTATTAATACAATATAAAATGTCAGTATTTTTGTATTTTACTTCAAACATTTTTCAAAAAGAGAGTATTATTTGTTGTTCAAACACTTTTCAGATCAAAGTAATGAGTCACAATGCTCCGTTTCTTCAACAAAATAAGATTTAAAGGCATATTTATTGATGCATAATAACACTTTTTAGAATACAATACCAAGAAAATCCACAGTTGACTCTTGTTTGTGTGATATTTGATATAAAAAACCAACAAGAGTGCTCTTTAGTAGCTGTTTTTAAAAAGAAAGAGCTGAATGCCACAGACAGAAACTGAGTCATTTCTGGGTTTGGTCTCTTCCTGGCTTTTCTTAACAATAAGACAAACATAAAATCCTGCCAGCTTTATCCTTTAATATCTCTTCTGCCTTAATCTGCTTTTTGTTGTCTTTGCATCCTCTAATTCATTCACATCAATGCCTGTTTTTTTCTGTTTACTGTCCTTTTCTTAAGCTCATTCTGAATACATCTCCCCCTTCATTCCTTCCAGCTTTTCTTACTACTCTTTGTTCCTCCCTGCTTCTCCTTCACAACACACTCTCAATTAATCAGCTCGAAAATTAGCTCCGATATCGTACCGTCTGACGGGAGGAATATGACATGTGAGGAGCTGGTGACAAAAAAGAAAAAGCTGGAATCGACAGAGTGATCCATGCTGCGATAACGACGACTTGTCAGGCGGTTGTGATCTGCTCTGTAGCTGGTCTGAACGACTGAAACGCTCGTGCCAACCAGCTTCCTAAACAGCAATTACTCGCTGATGGGAGTGTTTTCCTCATTAGGCTGCTGCAGCTGTGGACAGTTCACAGTAATCAGGCCGCCCAACACCCACCAGCTAACGCTGCCTATCACGCACCAGTGGGAGAAGAAGAGAAGGAATGAGGGGAGAAAGAGATGAAATAAATAAAAAGACAACAGGGACAATTTGAGGTTAAAGCAAGGAGAGGAAATCAGGGAAAGGGAAGGGGACAAAGCTGATTAAAACTCTTGCTGTTCAATAACAGAACAACATCCTGAGCTGACGGAACAATCCACACAGGTATTTCCTCTTTGTTACGGGCTGTTGGTTCACCCCTCGCTCCTCAGGTGTAAGCGAAGCCGCCGGTAATCTGCAGCGACGTCCGAGCACAAAGGGGCCTCTTCAGAGCTTGCTTTCTGTGTTCCTGTCACTGTAACCTGCACGAGATCGTTTCGTGGCGTGAGTCACGAGCAGAAAAGGCCACCGTCAGATCCCAGGTTGCTAATGGTGCAGTTGGAATGACACTGAAGCGCCGAGCCGTTCGGTCCAAGGATAATGGCACCAGATGGGCGCACAGACAGCCACTCAGCACTGCTGGGTGCTCACTGCTGGTTAAGTACCGCTTCAATGAGTATTCCTTTTGAAAGTGAAACACAGGCTGATTGACCACAGTGATATTGTTGATTTAGGAACCACAGCTGAGAACAAGTGAATCTGACAGCATAATAACCTCAGGTAATTATTCACCGTGCGCCCCGTTCCCTCCTTTCAAGACGTTTAAAAAGAGACTCTGGTGCATTTAGATGATATTTCTGTGCTGCTTTGCCGTGTTAGCAGAGGACTTTCAGTCATATGAGAAAAGCTTCGGCTTGTCATGGTATAATATTCATCCCATTACAGGTTTTAAAGTTTCCTCATGGATGCCCTTTTAGGAAAGAAACACCTGCAGTGCACAGCGGCAAATACTTTTTACAGCTGAGGGTGTGAAAACAATTCACCGAGTGTGAAACTCCACAGTGTCTGTAGTGAGCCACATCTTCAGGAAAGTCTGTTAGAAAATACATTCAAAGGACGTTTAAAACTTTAGAATAAATTATACACAAACTTCTTTTTTGCACTTCTTTTTAACTACTCATATTAAATAAACCGTGCAAAACAATCACAAATGCTATTTTTATTTTACAGAAAAGAGCCGTCAGAATTATCACCATAAAACATTACTGTCACCCATCGAATACATTATTTTCTAAATT